AAAAAAAAATCCCTCAACTTGAATGTCAAAATGTTGATGTTTCAGATGAAATGACAAGTCAGAGTTAATCCTTCCACTTGCCCTACCTGAAATTAACATAAAATTAGAGAGCAGATGAAACCTCCTCCATGAGGCCTAAGCTGACCACTAAAGAGGACCCCAGTAGCTCTGCTTCTACTTTTTATCCCCTGAGGAAGCTTCTTGAAAGAACAACAAAAGGACAAAGTAAAAAATGAACTCTCTTGCACTGTTCACTCCCATTAGATACTTTGGACACGTGTTCTAGGCCAGGTTAGCACGAGTTTAACTTTAAGCACAGGCTTACTGAACAGTGTTCATACTGCCTAATTTGGGTGTCTAACTTAGCAGCCTCCCTACAGTCCTTTGTCCATGAAGACAAAGAGTTTCTTCTGGAAGGCTTCACTCAAGGCCTCCTAGGGCACTGCTTTCTCCCCTCGCTGGACCAGGGTCTTTCTCTTTTCTCTGACTTTTCTGGGACACTGCAAGGCTAGACTCCTTCCCTCCTGTTGTCTCTAGGGTGGCTGCTTGGTGATTTAGTCAGGCACACCCTGGTAGTTGCTGGTTCTTATGCAAGATGCTCAGCCTTGAGTAAGATCAAGCCTCGGTGGTGCAGGCAAGCGGTTATCACCTTACTCACTGGGAAGCTTTGGAGGATGGCAGCACAGTCTCTTGGAAGAGGCAGGAAAAGGGAGAGACCCCCATTCCTGCAGAGCTGTGAGTTTAGAGGCTCTGTGCACACTGCTTGTAGTGGAAATCCATGAGACTGAGATGGCACAGAGATACAACACTTGTCTGTAATAGGAGGAGCAGACATATGTAAAGAAGATAGCATGGTCATGCAAATGGCCCTGGTGAAGGTGAATGCCTCAGTATGCTGAGCTCCTGTGYTATCAAGTGAGAGTGGAACTAGTTACTGTGACTGTCCTTCTGGTTTATTTTCATCTAGGGGAAGAGAAGTATTGTCTTTTGTGTGCAGTATGTTTATAACTCAATTTCCCTTCTGACTGTTGCCTTGCTCCACACTCTTTTCTCCTCCTCCATCTGGTTTCTATTGTAGTTTTAAATGAGGACAGTTCGGCTGTCTGGCAGAACAAGTGGGTCTGTGTGACACCAGCTGCCTCTTCCAACTTCCAAGCCTCCAGCACAGTTTTAATTATAGAAGTGTGGAGATTAGAAGTCACCCCCTCCCCAACCTCTATTTAAGTGCCTGTGCGCGCGCACACACACACACACACACACACACACACACACACACACACACACAGAGTAACCCCTGGAGCGAAGTCCCCACCCAAATCTGCTTTTTCTTTGACACACCATGGCCTATGCTTTATCTGCACTGTGTAATGCAGATAAAGTCCCGCTCTAATGTGCACACTAGAGTCTGACTCACGCAGCATCAAGGTTGAATACAGCTTTCATTTTGGTTAAGGTTCACCAAGAGTTATGTCCAAAATAATCAAGAACCACCTTGGAGAAGCCTGGAGGTGCTCACACTGCTTTAGCCTCGCTGCCTGCAAGTGCCTGAAAGAGTCAGCTTTGTAGGAGATCAGCGCTGCCCAGGAATTTCAGGCCTACAGGTTCTGCTCAAAGAAAACATTTATTATGCTCCAGTTTTATACAAGTGCTGCATTTAGGGGCTTGCTCTGCAGGAAGTTGATGCAGTCCTTTCACCCCCAGGGATCTGAGGTCAAAGTCTGTAATTTTGGGTTGTGAATGAAATATGTCCTATGGAGGATTTTTTTGACATCAGAAAACCACCATGCATTTTGGCATAACAAACTGTTTCTCTTTGTAAGAATCAAAGGCCTGGTATGCAGGAAGTCATGTAGATGGTGAGTGAAGGGCACTAGAAGAGAAGCCCAGGGCTGGAAGAGCAGGAGGCGTTGCAGGGCAGGAGCACAAGATATTGCCAGGCTTTGGTGCATACTGTCTGTTTGCAGCCTCTATTGAGGAGGCAAAGCGTCTGTATTTCAGCAATGCTAACTCTGCACTCACTTTTAAAAATGAGTTAAATCTTGCATATTTGCTTCAACAGATAGAGCTGAGCTTCTCCTGTTTGTGTATAAGACGTTTGCTTACCTGCCTCTTGACCTAATTTGTCCTCCAAGGAAATGTAACGCTCAGCAAAAAGAAAGAGTAATTTAATAAGTCTTGCTTTCAGGAGGTCAAATTACTGACAATGAACAACTTATCCTTTACACTGAGATTTTAGAAAGTGCGTAATGAATGAAACTGTAGACATGGACTCCATTTGTGTGTTAGCTAGACACTATCCTGAGCTTTATCTATATGAAAGGCAGTTTTATTTTCTTTTAAATAGACCTTGTCACATGGCTTAAATGCTCAGATAAACTTTCCATTCAATTAATTCTTCTTCCATGTGGCATGGAGTGATTTACCCATTCTCCCATCCAAAAGCAAGTAAAGTGGTCATGAATCTGTCTAGATTTCATTTTTGCTGTTTACACTACATTTATTCCCAAGGTCCTAACCAGGCGGGAAGTCTTAATATGCCATATGCGTAGCTCCTGCCACAAAGATCTTGTGCTGTAAACAGAAAGAAAAGAAGAACAGGCTGAAAGTAATCTCCCTTTCCTTTTTATTTCTAGCATGCCACATATGCATATGATCGGAGTTCCCTACTAGAGCTACAAATATTCAACCCTTATTTACAGACAGTTTTCTTTCTTGATATGCCTTTCACAGACACAAGGTAGAGCTTTTCTTGCTAGGATTTTTAGAAAGATTTTGCTCTCTCCTTCCACACCATTTGTTTCTCTAGGAAGTTGGTGCTATAGGTACTAAGGTAGAGATGTGAGAAAGTCCTGAAGGAAGGAATCCTACAGCTCTATGACTCCTGTGGAGAAAGCTTTGACTCTATAGACTTCACCTGTTCTCTTGACAATTTCATGGTTTCCCATAAACACTTATGTGGTAGGTTAAGGCCCTAGACAGAAACTGAGCTTCAGTGTTAGCTAAAGTAGTATTAGCTCAACGTCTTGAGGGTCTTAAAAATCATCCCAAAGGCTTAGAGAGTGGCTTAATGTGCCTGTACATTCCTGGGCTAAAAAGAAGTAGAATTTCCCCGGTTGTTCTGAAGAGGCATCTGTGACCTTTGCTGAGGAGAATTAGTCTGTTTGAATCATTCAGGTATCCAAGTAGTCAAGAATATTCCTTCATTTGGGTTGGACCCCTCTGAGAAGAGAAGGGAAGGACGTCTTTACCTCCTCCTGCAAGGCAGAGAGGAGGAGGCACTTCTGTGATTGACTGAGCTCTGTAGTAGGGTGGCACTGAGGTAGACACTGGGTTGGAAACTCTCCTCTTTGGGGGCTGTGTCCTGGTTTCATTAGTGTGGGCAGGCATAGAAAACATTACAAAATGAAGAAAATCCCCACTGGAATAGATTGCTAAGCTTTACCGGGCTTTCATAGAATGTTTTCTCCTTGCGGGAGGAGAACACACATGGGAAATCTATCACTATATTCAGCATTAAAAAAAAAATCCTTACACTCATTCTCAGGACAGTAATAAATCGTATCAGCCTGTTGAGTAAACAGGAGTCTAGTGGTGTCCCCTTGTGTGATCTCCTCCCTTTGGAAATACAGTTGTGCTGGTTTGGCAGCTACTGGGAGGGARGATAGAGCACGTCTGGAAGAGACCAGCAAGGCCAGTCCTCATCATTCTTCCTCCCTGTCCTGTGACAGAAGTTATCGAGCCTCCCTCTCCTGACATGGCAAAATTCATTTTAGCCCACACTTCTGAGAAACCACGAGCTGACTCTGACCTCAGTGGCAAATAAGAGGAAAACAATAGTGTACCAGCTCTTTTTGCKCAGACTGTGCCTGGAGTGCTGTCTTTGGATCCTCCATGATGAAACATATATTAATATGTCATTATGATCCTAGGTTTGGAGTAGAAGTCAGGCAAGGTCCAGCCGGAGGCATTGTTTTTGTGGTGTTGCAAAGATGCAGTAATTGCTATGCCTGGTTTCCCAGTCCCATGTGCGGCTTAATCTGTTTTCTTCCACAGAGTGCAGCAGACTCAGTATTATGGTGTGGAGCCTTAACTTCTGCGTTTACTGACTTTTGTGCTTATAACTGTGTGAAACATTGCCTTAAATACAGAGGAGTTTCTAGCACCTAATAAGGAAGGAGTCTCTTACTGTTATTGTTATAGCTAGGGTTGTTATAATACTGGGGACAGGGAGGCTTGGTCTGATCAAGTGCATGAGGGGTCCCCTATACCTATATAATGGGAGAAAATAAACACTCACTTTGGATCCAGATCTGGATATAAATGTTATGCCTCAGGCTTCTCTCAGTTTTAAGGCTGGTTAAGTCCTTGGCTGGTTATGTCGATGGGGTTCTTTTGAAGCCAATGTCAGATTTTGTCAGTGTGAAGATCTAGTCAATGTTTGAACTTCATACCCCCTCTGTGGGAGTTTATGAGCATTAAACCATGGGGTATGTAGGCTTATATGGAAATGTGCATGTTTCTCTGATTTTTATCCAAGCCAGTCAGGCCTTTTGGCTCAATTCAGCAAGGCTGGAACTCTATCTTGGGCAGGGGGGAGATTCCCAGCACCTCATGCTTTCAATTAGAGGGAAATTGCCTCTCTTTCTGAGGAGGGAAAAAGAAAAAAGAAAAAAAACAGGAAAAAAAAAGGAAGAGAGAAACCCTACCTTTCTTCTTACAATGCTTTTGTTGCATCACACGCCGTAACTGTATAGTGGCAATGAATGGCAGAACCATAGCACGTCCTTCTGTCCTTCTCTGTAGATCAGTTATAGCTGCTTTGGGGAGGAGAAGAGGGAGTTTGCTTTTTGTTTACTCTGTATTTCCCCCACGACTGTACCCTTGTCTGTGCCCTGCAGACAGCCTCCACTGCTGCTTCATGAAATGTTAATCTCCTCTGTGGTGACTTGTGTCTCTCAGTATGCACTGACTGGGGATCTTGCCTTCCTTTCCTCTCCTAGTGCCCTATGTTCTGAAGAGCTGTGCAGAGTTCATTGAGACTCATGGCATTGTGGACGGGATCTACCGCCTCTCAGGAGTCACATCCAACATACAGAAGCTGAGGTAAGGGCAATCTGACAACCAGGGGGATTCAGTGACACTGCTCACTACTGGTTTGCCGTTGGTCCCTCCAGCATATATAGCGCAGAGATAACATAGCTCTGCACTAATGACAAGGATTCTAAACCAAAAGGTAACTGACCCTAAAGCTAGGGAAATATAGTATTTCAGGGATTATTCCATGAATAGAGAAAAATCTTATTCTTAATCCATTAATGAGAAAGGCCTGGAGTTTCTCAGCACAAGTGCTGAGATGTTCTCTCTTGCTTCAAGAAAAAACAATCCCTTTAGATCCCTTTGGGTCCACGCATGAAACCAGAGACCAGTAGAAGGCTGATGCCCTGAGTTCAGGAGACAATCTGGGCAAGGCCAAAGGTAATACAGAGACATCTCTGCTTTCCAGTTTGTTTTTCCCTATAGCCGTGAAAGAGAACTCCAAGTGAGTTGGGGTTGCCAGAGCCTTTTTTTGACTGGGCTGCCAGAGCCTTTATTTGACTGCATTGTTATGTCTTCATATTGTTTCAGACAAGAGTTTGTTTCTGACCAATGCCCGGACCTGACAAGAGAAGTTTATCTCCAGGACATTCACTGCGTGGGGTCACTCTGCAAGCTTTATTTCAGGGAACTGCCCAACCCTCTCCTCACCTATGAACTCTACAAGAAATTCACGGTGAGACCCCTTGCTGTTCTCATTCCTAACCAGGAGTGTGGATGTGTTGCAGGTTCTCCCATGATAACTGTCTGAGCTTCACTGCAATGTCCTGGTTTCTGGTGCAGATGTCAGTATAAACACCTCTCAGTGCTCTTCCCTCCTCTTCCTGTGCAGGCTCTTTTTCTCTGCCCTTGTTTCTTTCCCCATTTTAATGTTTACTTCTCTCTTTTCTTCTCTATGTCTTGCTGTCTCATTTTCTGACTTCATTGCTTCTTTAGTGTTACTCTTCCCCTACTGTGCACCTCCTCATAGAGTTACTAATTACGCTTCTTTTCCTCATTACTGTCTATCACTGAAAGTTTTTTGAATCACCTGTGATGATAATCACAGAGTGGTTTCCTTTTCCCTGTTCCTTCTGCAGTCCCTGACACCTGTGCAAACTCATTGCTCACCCCCAATTTAAACTACCAACTTTTTTGCACCTGTAGCATTCTACACCCAGTTTGTCAGAGTTCAAAGGATGGCACAAGTTCCCAATTATGGCATATCGAGGCCCTTCATAATCATTACATGAACANACTGTCTGAGCTTCACTGCAATGTCCTGGTTTCTGGTGCAGATGTCAGTATAAACACCTCTCAGTGCTCTTCCCTCCTCTTCCTGTGCAGGCTCTTTTTCTCTGCCCTTGTTTCTTTCCCCATTTTAATGTTTACTTCTCTCTTTTCTTCTCTATGTCTTGCTGTCTCATTTTCTGACTTCATYGCTTCTTTAGTGTTACTCTTCCCCTACTGTGCACCTCCTCATAGAGTTACTAATTACGCTTCTTTTCCTCATTACTGTCTATCACTGAAAGTTTTTTGAATCACCTGTGATGATAATCACAGAGTGGTTTCCTTTTCCCTGTTCCTTCTGCAGTCCCTGACACCTGTGCAAACTCATTGCTCACCCCCAATTTAAACTACCAACTTTTTTGCACCTGTAGCATTCTACACCCAGTTTGTCAGAGTTCAAAGGATGGCACAAGTTCCCAATTATGGCATATCGAGGCCCTTCATAATCATTACATGAACACAAAAGGCCAAAGAAAGTGGCAGCTGGCCAAGCAGAAATCATTATTCTGTCTTAAAGGGACTATAATTCAAAGAGTAGTAAGTCCATTCCAGAAAACAGTTATAGAGTGTGTATATATAGATACAATTGGAACGTAAGAGCAGACTGCAGGGAGCRGAAGAATAAGGCCAGGAAGCTTCAATTTTTAAACAAGTTGGCTAATTTGACGACAGGTAGTATTTTAATGTAGTGCAGCAAACTAGGCATGTCACTGAAGTTGCCTGGTTCTTACTGTTCTAAAACTATTTGCAGTTGTTTGTGACACAAATTTTAATCCAGACATCTTAGAAGCTGAATTTTCAGCTAAAAGCATTCACCAGCTTCTTATAACAACTGGGATGGGGGGAGAGGGGAAGGGTTGTTTGTGCAGCATTAGAAACATCCGTCCTTTGTTCAGAAGTTGCCTCCTCCTACTCTTTGACATTTGCTGGGAGGTGGAGCAGACCAATTTCGTCAAAAATGTCAGACGTTGCAGAGAAGACATTTTGCAAAATCACAGGCAGCTGAAATGGGAAGTGGCTTCGGGCCTCACTGTCCACATTGCCCCAAATCAAGCACTTCCAAGCATCTACAACACAGATGGCAATGTGTGGGAGCCATGGGGCACACTCCAGAAGAAGGGCTTCTAAAAACATTCCCCGCTGCCTGCTGTGGGAAGAGGCAAGCATTCCTGGGCAGCACTAGGGCAGATCCAAAAGGCACCACCCAAGCAGCCATCCACTATAAGTGGCCAGGTAGTTGTTACAGGCTATAATTGAGCTGGGGAGTAAAGCGTGGGACGTGGCTAATCCTGTTATATGGCCTGACAGACATACAATAGTCTTAGGTGTCTTGTTATTTCAATGCCAAATATTAAGTAAGATTGGGCTTTTTTTTTTTTTTTTTTGAGATGATGTATAGTCAAAACCTCAGTCACAGTTATGAGCAGATCTGACAAGTCTTCCTATATCCTCAGTTTGGGAACACCAAAACAGACATGCTTAGGAAGAATAAGACCTTGAAAATAGAGTATTATTCAAGCATTCATAATAACTGATGAATCTCATTGGAGATACTTGGCTGGTGTCTTTCTGGCTATCAGTGTTGATTTATGAAAGAAAAATGCTATAAAGGAAGCATGAAGATTTAGATGGAAATCTTTTTTTTTTGGAAAGAATGTTTGCTAAAAGTGCAGTTTTGGGATGATGACTTGCAGGTTTGGGTTAGGTACATTTGGTAAATAGTTTTGTTCAAAAATAAAAAGGAAAACACTTTTGTAACTGTCCAAATATTTCTTTTATAAATACTTTGTAAAGGCAATATTTCAACTTTAAATGAACTCTCTAACTCTTAAATAAAAGAGGAAAAAAAACCCAAAAAGCAAACAAAAAAACCCAAACACCCCAGACCCTTAAAGAAAAGGGTTAAACAGCCACAAACTTAAATGATTTTTTCTTTCACTTTTGGTTGAAGGTGATGTTTTGGTCAATTTGGAACAATCGATTTTTGAAATGTTATGCTCACTCTCCAAATAGTGTCAGTCTAGATTGACCTAAAAGGATTTTTTTAAATCTCTAGCTTTTCAGTTTGTCTGTGCAGACACAAAATCCATCATTCACGTAACTCCATTCTAATGAGTTACCCAGCTGACAAGAAACAGCCAGATACCAGGAGGAGGAAAAAAAAAAAAAAAAAAAGACCAATTCCCCAAAGAACAGAAGAAGCACAAGCAGTGTGTATATATATGTGGGGTGCACATGGAATGGTAGCAGCTGTRCTTAGACAGAAGATTGCTGCTAGGAGTAAAGGATACATGTTAATCCCATCCTGTCTGACTCACTCAGTGATGTTTCCGAGATGGGATAGGCTCCACTTTGAGTCAGTAGGATGATTCAGATATTCGTGGCTAAAGAAAGCTAAAATCTTAATGACTAGGGAGGGATTGGCTTTTTGGCCATTCCTATGTCAAGTTTATGGTTGTAACATCCCAGTCATGACCTCACTGGGTATTAGCCTTTGCAGAATGTTGTGTTCTCCTGCTCTCCAGCTTTGCCTCTTGTATTGTGGTGAGATTGCCAGTGATTCTGCTTGGTTAGTTCTAACCTGAACACAGAGTGACAGATGACTCCCTAAGAATAAATCAAGTGGGAAAGGCTTTCACTCTCCCTGGAAAGCAGCTCTGAACCCGGGAGTCTTGTTGGACAACAAATTGACTGTGAGCCAGCACTGTGTCCTGGTGGCAGAAAAAGCCAATGGTATCCTGAATACATTAGGAAAAGCATTGCCAGCAGGTCGAGGGATGTCATCCTTCCCCTTTACACAGCCCTGGAATATTGCGTCCGGTTCTGGGCTCCCAGGTTTCCCAGGTAAGAGAGAGATGTGGAGCTATTTGGAGCAAGTCCAATAAAAAGTCAAATAAATGAGGATTAAGTTATGACTTATAATTTTTATTATGAGATTTAATTTCCTTAAATTTTAGTGCTTAGGTCAGAATTTTAGTTTTTATTTGTTGCTGTAAAGAGCTGTCTCTAAATGTCCTAAGGGGGCCCCAGCCTCTCACAGAGTCTTTCATTTCAGGCTGTATCTGCTTCCGAGACCCTGTATCAGTAGAATAAAATTAAAAACAACATCACTTGTTTAAATTTCATAACAAGCTCATTTCCGTCTTGAATAAAGCTTATAGTCTACACTTCAGATGTTTTGAAACTGCGGGTAGCCTGTGGCATGTTAGTGCAGTGGACTCCTCCTATGCAGAGGCCTGATTCATGCAGTGGCAGTCTGCAACCATGTAGCTTGTCAGGAGGAGTGCACATTACAGATGACTTATACTAGTGATTCTCCTGTTGGCACTTCATGAAATGACTGACAGATGATACTAAAAGGCATAATTCCTGATGTCTGGAAAGGGTGATGCTGGGATATTTCTGCAACTGTGTTCTTGGGGCAAAAATAAGGAGTTGTCCTCATGCTTTGGTTATGGCTAAAGAGCAATAGAAAGAGTTAACCCACCTTTAATTTGGGCAGAACAAGTACATCTTTGTCTCTTATACACTAAGCTAGTGAGCTGACTTGTTTGCCTTTGCCATGGTGTTGCCAACTAAGTTCAAGCCAGAAGAGATGGACCTTGGTACACAGTGTTGGGGATTTAAGCATGATTCATATTCTTCTCTAACCTTGAACCTGGCAATTTCAACCTAGTTTGTTGGGGGTTGTACATGAAGAGTAGTTTGCAGGTAAAAGAACTGCAACTAGGACACTGATGTGCAGTGCAATCCTAAGTGCAGATGTTGTAGTGACTAAATGGACATAGCAATGCTCCTCTAACTGTGTCAGGCAATTACAGGTTCATAATATTTAAGCAATGGGCGGTTTGGGATGGGTTATTTCCTTCCTCTCCTTTCCTGGCAGTGCTGACATCTGTCTGTAGGCAAAACTTCTGCTGGCAGCGTGGGTCCCATAATCTTTCTTTGAACTTACTCCAAACTTAAGTGGCAGCCGGGTAGGCAGGAGGTTCCCAGACAGTCATGCATTGTTTGAAGTTGCTAGTGGTTTGTCCTCTCATAGCACAAATACTGAAAGGGAATAGCCGAACAGATGAAATCCAATGCAGCGATCTGCTAGGAATGCAGACAAAAGCTTATCACAGCTTTCTAAGCTCTTGCTCTGTAGAGACTTGCTCAAGACCAAGATGTATAACCTTGATTCTGTTTAATCTAGTCTAACCCTGAGTATAAAAAATTATTAATCTTCCTGGACAGTGGTTTTGCTAAGGCTTTTCTCCCCTCAAGAGCTGCAGTCTCATACAAACTACTATCTACAGCTATTTTCCTGTGAGAGATAATATTGGTTATTTTTATGAATACAGAACATGTAAACCCAAGCTGCTTTCATATCACATGACTAGCAAGACCTGTTTTATTTTTAACTCAATTTCAGGAGGATTTTTTCAGTATTTTTCTTTTCATTATTTTCACTGCTCTCTTTTGCGCTGTCTATTCTACCCACCATTTCCCAAGTAGAGAAGGAAAAGAAGAATAAAATAAAATAAAATAAAATAAAATAAAATAAAATAAAATAAAATAAAATAAAATACCTAAAACTGCCAACTGAAACTCTCAGTGTAATTTTGGATTCAGAATTAAGTCCTCAGCCCCACTTATCCCAAACATTAGCTGCTTTCTCCCAAGGTATGCAGGAGATATACTGAGATGAAATAACTAGCCAGCACAGCAAATCTCTGTTGTGCTGGGAACACAAACTTAGCTTTTTTTTTGGCCATAGTTCTGTAAGGAAACGAGAGAGCACTCCCTCTGATACTGGCTGTCCCATGTACACTCCTTATCCCTCTTCCTTTTCCCCTAAATCCTGTGCCAGAGTGGACTGTTTCCTTGTATCTCCACAGGAAGCTGTATCACGCTTCCCCGAGGATGAGCAGCTGGCACGAATCCAGAATGTCATCCAGGAGCTCCCACCATCACATTACAGGTGAGAACGTGTCTACTGAGGCTCTGAGGAAGAGTCTTGTCACTGTCAGCAGCACGGAGTATTGCCTGAAACAGCACCAAAGTTAATCTCCAGAAGTTATTTTCCAAAGGTTCACTCAGCATTTCCATATTTTATCTGGTGTTTAAATATAATTGAACAAGCCATTGTTAGAGATTAAATGACCTCTCCTTGCATCTACCTGTCCTGCTTTTCCCCATCTGAGTCCCTTGCAATGGCCTTGGTCAGAGTTCTGCTTGTGGTGAGGAAAAGATGATCTCCTGGAGGCACCTGAGCCTTTACTAAGCCCTCAGTCTCCACAGCCAGCACACAGTGGCATTCCCTGCTACCATCTTTCTAGCACTCATCACACGAAGAATTGTTGGGATCATGTCCCACCCTCAGCCACCCCACATCACATTTTTTAGGTATCCACTTCCAGATTTTGTGAATTCTGGTACTGATAGATAATATGCCCTATAGTGGCCATTGTGCTATTGCAAATATTGCCTTCCTTGAGGAGACAGTGGCTCTGAAGCCAGCGCTGAATCTGAGAGTGCTGTCCCAGGGGGTGGACAATGTCATCTGAGCAGAAGGAAGAATCTGTCAGGAGGGTGCATGTTCCAGGCACTAGCAGCTCTGGGGAGACATCGTCACACGCATGAAGGGGAACTTGACACTTTTTTCTCTCTTCTCACCCAACTCCTGCAGAACACTGGAATACCTGATCAAGCACCTGACTCACCTGGCCTCCTTCAGCAACATGACCAACATGCACACCAGGAACTTGGCATTAGTGTGGGCACCCAACCTCCTGAGGTACAGTGGAAAGGCTTCTGATCTAGAGCACCAAGCTCAAATTTAGTGGGAATATGGGAACTTGAGCCATGAAGGCCAATCCACTGAGGGAAATATAAAGCTAGAAACAAACAGAACAACTAGAGGGAACACTAGGGCAGAGCAAACAGCTATAAAAAAGAGAAAATATTCTTCCAGGTTGACTAATCTGAGGTCTTACTGCCAACATCCAAGGAAGTTTGTGGGTTTTTTTTTTTAAAGCTGTTATTTGTAGGCAGGCCACATTGATTTAAAAATGAGAAGTTAGCTCATCCCTATGGAACGGAAATGACATTTCTGACACTGACAGCACTTCTCAAATGGAGCAATGAGAGAAAATGTAGCTCAGAAAGGAAGACAACACAGCAAAAAGTCTGTGTCCAGAACTGCCTAAGTATGAGTGAAGTGAGCTCGATGGACCTAAGATGGCAACAAGTGCCAGATCACCAGACCACCACTTTTTTTTTTTTTTAATTTTTTCTTTGCCTGGCACAGGAAAGAAACCCAGATAAGAGGCAGTCAGAGGTTTTGCTGATATGATGTAGAGCTGAGCAGAATGAGAAAAAAAATCTGAAAAAAAATCTACTGAAATATTTTAGACCTCAGTGTAAATTCTTTCCTAGTTCCCTCCCAGCCTCGCAGTGTTCATCTATTGTGAAGTGTGAGTTATGCAGGAATAGTCCAAGACTGCTGCAGGACAATAGCAGGACACAAGCAGAACTGGTGTGGAGAGGCCAGGTAGGGGAGAGCCTTTGGGGCTGCAGGCCAGGAAGGAGCGATATTGGCAAGAGAGGTCTAGGTCAAAAGAAAGACTCTAATGACTTTCCTTGCTCTTTCAGATTACAAAAATGACAGGTTCCAAAAATGAATTACATGTTCACTTTATTGACTATCACAAAGTGGGCATTTGCTACTCAGACGTTTTCATAACAGCATCTGTCCTTCTTGTCAAAAAACTGAAGTCTTTTCCTTTTGCAATCTATTGTAAGTGCAAGACCTAGGGAGGATAAGAAAGGAGCAAGTAATGCAACTGCAGTCTCCTTACATGGTTATCCACTTGGCAATGCCCCAAGCTATTATCTAACACACCAGTCATTAACTTTACAAAGGATTCATTGCTCAGAGATAATTTCTTCAGCAACACTTTGGCATGTCAAGATAAGGAATGTTTCTTTACTAAGCGCAAGAGTGAGAATGTGAGAGTGCAGGGGGGGTAGTGAGGAGACTACTGCGACATAAGGCAAAGCATTGAAAAATTGGCATGGGAAAGACATACAGGGGGTTCTAAGGGACTTCTCTCAACCCCTTTTAGAGAGATGATGAATATGGAAGCAATGTGTGAAGGTTCTTGTCTTTCAGGCTCAACTCTGAAAGAGCTAAAGGAACAGCGAAGGGGAGGGGAAAGAGGAGTTTGAAAGTCACTGTTTTATCTACTGATGAATGTAAAAGGGAAGTAGGAAAATTAACACCGATGGGAAAGGAATGAAAAGATGTGAGAGAGAAAATAAAGCAAAGAATTTTAAAAGGAAAGAAGAAGGAAAAGACAGAATAAGAATGAGGGCTTGGGAGGGAAGGAAGGCAGAGGATGGAGCAGAAGTGAGGAAAACATCCCTGCTTCAGGTTCTGTCAAGCTAATCATACTAGAAGGAAAAAAAATGTTCCTCCCTTCCTAGGGGGACCATGTGTGGCAATGTTGGGTATTAATGTACCTCTTTCCTCTCCTGGTGCAGGTCAAAGGAAATTGAGGCTGTTGGCTGCAATGGGGATGCAGCTTTCCTAGAGGTGCGAGTCCAGCAGCTGGTGATTGAATTCATCTTGAATCATGTGGATCAGATCTTTATCAACAACAGAAAAGCCAGTTCCACAGAGAACAATGGTAACAACCTCCCTGAATCATTCCACATATCACTTGCCAAATACTTTAGCCCTAGGATTTCCATTAATATTTCTAGCACATCAGCAATCTCTCCATGTTCAGAGACTCTCTCAAATACATCTCAAGTCCTATTCATCGTTACCTTAGCCCCCTTTATTACCATAATCATTTCCTTTTTTAACAGGGTCTTTCTTCATTGTGTTCTGAGATTGCGTATGCCTTGTTCTTTTTATGATCTTATCTGGTTTAACCTTTTCTACAGAGAAAGCCCACCTGGCTGGCTTCTCAGTCGTGGCCTCAGTTTTTTCTTCATGCCCATCAGCCACATACTCAATCACTTGCTCAAGTTCTTGTTCTTCACATTAATGATACCTGCTTTATGGTCATCATTCTTACACAATTTGCTAAGATGAGGCCATACTCCACAGTGAAATTTAAGCATGTATTCTAAAAACATGCTTTTTACTTGGGTTATTTTATGAAGTCAGATACCTTTTTGTTTCCTCCTCTGGAACCCAGCAGGCTTTGGAGGTGTTGTTTTTATTATTCAGCAATGGAATTGTTGTCAAAATGCTTTTAATGATGCGGACAAGAGGTGTGAGGTCCAAAATGAACTCACATAATTTCAGGAATACATTTCTTCTTCTTTACACATGGGGAGAACTTGCTGCACATGCAGAAGTGAAGGAGTAAGCATCTTTCTCTTAGCTTGTGGCATTCCCTGCTAGTATGTTACTGGAATTTACAGTTTTGGTGAGATGCCCTGCTTGACTGTAATACTCTTGCTCTGCCAATGCCAGTTCTATTCCTATGCAAAAGGCATGGAGTGAAGAACTGCACTCACAACATTGCAAGCATTACAGTAAAATACTGATTCATAAATTCCAAGACTTCTGGTTGTATTGGAAGTCGCTGGCCCCGAACTAGCCCAGTTTGGTAATTATGGGACACTATTGACCTTTATCAGCTACATGGAGATTAGAAGAGGATCACGCTGATGATCTCAGTCCAATTCGTTGTGGGAAAACGTCCCATTACCCAGCCCTTGTGCACATGTAGTAGCTTGCCCTTTGCCTTTCAGCTTCAGCAGCAGGGCTAAAAACTGAGGGACGACAAAGACTGCACTTTCTTCATGCACCCGGAGGTCTGTTTAGACAGGGCTGAGGCCTGTTACTGAGGTTGCATACAGGGAGGTGACTCTGCTGCTGGCCGTGTAGACAGACCTTCAGTCTCTAGGGGTGTCAATAAGACTCCTCTACATGGCCCTAAAACGCATTAGGAAAGTAGAAGTAATGTTATTTTTTAGGACGGATCCCTTTGCTAGGACAAACCATAGAGAAAGATGTGGAAGTGAAAGAAAGAGCTAGGCATGTGTTTTGGACTGGGGACAGAACTGTTCCAACATCTGGGGAGGGAGAAAAGAATCCTGTTGTTTTGTGGAGGTGTCTCTTTGACATCGAAGCTTCTACAGCAGAAGCAGCCAATCTGTGCAATGCAGTCTTTGGCTGGTGAGCATGGCTCCTGCTGGGAATGCATGCTGATGGATAAGGTTGCTGGGGAGATGGAAGACTTATCTGACAAAAGCCTCTCGTTCTGCACGTGTTGCTGCTTTTGCCCTCTCCACGGGAGATGTTCCAGTCAAATAAAGACATGAAGCTCTTGCTCTGCTCTCCTCCTCCTGAATTGGAATATCCTTTTTTTTTTTTTTTTTTTTTTTTGGCTTTTCAGAGAACACGCCAATTATGAAAAGTCTGACCCTCCCCTCAACCTCCCTGCCAATGAAACTGGTGAGCCTGGAAGAAGCACAGGCCAGGAGTCTGTCAGCCTCTCACCCTGCTCGGAAGGAAAGGAGAGAGAACAGCTTGCCTGAAATTGTCCCTGTAACTGGGTCCCTCTTCCACACAGTTGTTGACCTTCCTGACAGCAAGTAAGTGCCAAAAGAAGTGTAAAGTGCAAAACAGAAAGTGCAAAAAGATCCTCAGTATGATCAGGAATGGAATATTTATAAGGATGGCTGGGTGGGTGAAACCTGCACACCAATACCTTACAGGCTTACAGGCACATCAAGAAAGTCATGTGCCCTTCTCAAACAAGACAGAGTTGTTTCTGAGAAGCATTTTAGAAGCTGAGTTTGCAGTTCCTCTAGTCTTCTGCCTTCACCAGGGCAAAACTTTGCAGGACTTCTGCAGGAGCTGGAGTGTTTGCAGCTCTGGGGAGCTCAGGATTTGACTAAGCACAGGCTGGGTGCAGAGCAGGTCTGGACACAGCACTCCTAAGAGTTCCACCTGCTGGTGGCTGCTCTGCATCATGCCTGGCCATGCTCATCTGCCCAGCTCCGTCCTTCTCCAGGTTCCTCTGCCTTCAGAGCAAAGAGATAAAGCAAAATTTCACTCCTGCTGCAACACTAAGAGATATTTATGTAAGGGCACCTATGTAGAGAAGAGTCTGATGCCAGCTGACATTGCTGCAGTTGTTAGCATTGCTGCCTAGCTTTATTTATCTATTGGTCTATCTATCTTTTTCGCTATGGCCACTGCACTCTCTCATTCTGAGAGATTATAGCCTCTGAAGCAGGAGAGCCATTAATCTACTAACCTGCAGAGCACTATGCCAAAGATATTTCTTCACAATATCTCTGTGAAGCAAAAATGAGCCATCTAACAGCATACGGGTACATAGATAACCAGTTTAAGACAAAGGATGTGTTGTCCTCCTCCATTATCTTCTCTTTGCTTGCTTGAAAAGTCCTATTCCTAAAACATTGATTATCTTTGTAGCACTGGTTTGTCCTATTTGAGAACTGATCTAATAGCAAAGGCCTATGGGTATAGAAAGCCCACTTTGGAAAACCAGGTAGGGAGATTAGAGAGTTTGTTCACTGAAAGAGGTGAGACTGAAGGAGTCAGAGTGAGTATGAAGATACGTGAAACACAGCTTCATGCAGTAATATGCATAGAAGAGAACTGGCTTCAGATGTAGCAATTTCTTGCAGCTTTACGCTGGAATTTCCAAAGAGACATAGGGAAGTGGTGTCTGTTTTCTCTGACATTTAGTAGAATTTAATTCCCTTAAATTTCTTCCTTTTGGTTAGTAGCTTACACTAACATATGATCATGAAAAATGTATGGTAAAATGAAGTTGGCTTGGAAAGCATTAATAGAGATTTTGTGTTAGGGAATCCTTTTTCTTTTACAAATTCATAAAAGCTATAAGACATATGGAATTTAAAGGTTAGCTTTTTTTGCCAGATTGTAGTACATGTTCTATGAGTTCTCCAGAATTTATCTTTTATTCTGTCATTAAAATTTGATAAGTAGTTTTGTTCTGGGATGCATGAGAGCATTAGACTCAGAAGCTTCTCCTTTCTGTAGGTTGGCATGGTTGGTTGGACRGTTAGTCACAGCTCCTTTTGCATCAGTCCAGAGCCAGCTCTGTGAATGGTCAGCTCTTGAGTCTCTCCAGTGATGAAATAGTTAAATTAGGGAGACAGATAAATAACTTACACATAAGCAAGAGCTGGTTTTCCAGCTATGCCTTGCATGCCTTAGAATGAAAAAAAATGAGAGGGACACTTTTGAGGTGAGAAATCCCAGCGACTTTTGTGGGACACCTGAAAGGCAGAAGTGTCTGGAGTTTGGTAACCTCATGAGGGTTTTCTCTTTTAGGAGAAAATTATCTACCAAGTCCAAGAAATGGAAGTCCATATTTAACTTGGGCCGTTCTGGTTCAGAATCAAAGTCTAAACTGAGTCGAAATGGGAGTGTCTTCGTAAGGGCACAGAAGCTCTCTGGTAAGTACGCACCTTTTGGTTGAGTATCTCTCACAAGTAGCTTTGCCTGTGGCACTGAAATCGTGGGGCAACCTGCATCTACATGACATTTATACCATTAGACTTAAAATATGGTTTTATATGGCAGGGCTACCAGGTTTTATATGGCAGGGCTACCAGGATGATCAGGGGCCTGGAACATCTACCATATGAACAAAGGCTGAGAGAGCTGGGYCTGTTCAGCCTGGAGAAGAGGAGGCTGAGGGGGGACCTGATCAGCGTGTATAAATACCTCAAGGGAGGCAGTGAGGAGGAGGGGGGCAGCCTCTTTTCAGTGG